GGGGGGGGGGGGGGGGGGGGGGGGGGGGGGGGGATATACAACTGGAGACTTTTCTTACCCGGCAAGCAATTGTCCTTTTCGGAAACATTGGGCCCACCACGGCGCATCGCCTTGAATGAGCTCGTAAACGCAATCCTTGTCGAAGGTGATGTCTCCGTCCATGCCGCAGAGGTAGTCGACCGTGTCAAGTCCATAGTCGGTCATGATACAGCCCGGGATAGTTGAAGAGATCAGGGTTGAATATTGTAAAAAGTGTTACCAGACCTGTTCTTGTAGTACCGGAGAGGAATGATCTGACAGAGCACAGACTGTCGCGCTTTTCCTGACTGTACCGGTTGCCAATACCGATGTAGGGAACGCCCTGCTAGATGCCATGATGAACTGTGCAGGGAGTGAAGAAGCCGTATCTAGCGCAGTAGCCGTTCTGGAAAACTTCACCGGTGCCGCCGGCGAACAATTCGTCGAGAAGAAAGTCCTGCGTGTTCTTGGTCTCACCAGCAGCCTGGACGTCGCCATCAACAATCACCATGATGATCTTCTTATGGCCCTCCATCTTGATCTTATCTATGAGAGAGCCAGGGGACGTTTCGAGCTCGACCCTGTCCTTGCTGTAGCGGGGGAGGATCATGACAAGCTTTGAGCAGTCACCGCTTCTCGCGGCCAAGGCGAGGACGAGCAGGGGCTTGAAGTGGGATGCCGGACGATCTGAACAGTTTGGGGATGATCCGACAGAACAATTGGCTCAATCTTGCGGCGATGCTATCGGGTGACTGTCCAACGCGGAGAACACAAACGGGCTTGGATCGGCCCATGGCGGAAGGCGTCATCGGTTTCAAGCTGACAGACAGATGAGGATGTTCTTTCTTCTCCGTCTGGCTTCCTTCTTTTCACCTTCACTTCCGGTAGATTCAACTCCGAGAGAGATGGAACTGGTGTTGCCTGAAAACAATTAAACACACACACACACACACATATATATATATATATATAATTGCCTGTCACTCAAATCATGAAAGACCATCACCACTCCATCAAACCATCATTTCACACCCACTTTTTCTATTCTGTCTCACATAACCTTTCCACTATACACGTATATTCTGAGACATACATACACATATCGAAACGATGCTTCAATGGAACCGCAGCTGAAGAGGGTTTATCCCAGCTCGCCCGTCGCCGAGTTTTCAGAAAGAAGCCCCGCGTCCTGGTCGTGGGCATCGGTTTCAAGGTTGGCCAGTCGACGCTCAGCAACTCGCCCGGGCTGGACGTCCTCGAGCGCCTCTCCATGAGTGGTGAGGTCGAGGCCATATTTGCAGACACGTTGGTCTCACAGGGCATGATCCCACATATGCCAAGGCGCGGGGATGAGGTGTGGACTATGCAAGACTTACAGGCCTCTGACACAGTCATCGTCACCGTACGCCAGGTTGGCTTTGACTCTGGTGTCCTCCACGCCATCCCTTCTTCAACAAAGATTGCTTGTCTTTGCAGGCAGTAGCCGGCCTGGCTCTTCTCTTCTCTGTTTCATGCATGACTTCTTTCCTAACTGTTTGGAATTCCATCTTATTTCTTTCCTATTCTCCGTACATGCCGCGGAGATTTGCCGGTCTAGTCTTGTGTTTACAGATTAGCAGTGGGAAAGACATGTTGGTAAGTGGAGGAGTACACATCACACGTAGACTCATTATAATTACTATTATCGGCCTCATTACAGGCCTTACTACATGTTAGAATTTATTTGATCTTATTTGACGGGTGCTGTATGGAAACTGTAATGTCTTCTCTATAAGAACATGTTCTCGTCAGACTTGTCCCTTGTGTCCTGCACCCAAAGCACTGATCAAATCTCGTTTCTCCTTCCCTCCTCCCCTCTTCCCCTGCATTCCATCCAGTTCCAAATTATCTTGAAAATCCAGGCTACGCGCATCGGTATAGTGTCAGTGGCTGTGGCGATGTCCTGAACGCGGCTGGAAGACTAGTCACGCCCTCTTCTACTTCGCTATCATATCGCAGGTATCGTGAGGTTTCGGGGTCACGTTGCCGAGTGGACTAGATGATTACGGCAAAGAGGCTCAGTATGATGTATTGAAGTCAATATTCCGAATGACTTTCAAGGTCGGTCATGGGGGATAAGCTGAGGCGCACTTGCATTCAGTCTCTCGTGGATCTCAGTCTGCACCGTGGTTGAAGCAATAGACATTGGTCGGTGCTTGGTGATTAGGGTGAGAACGACGGCTATATATACAAGCATACCCATCCGTGTACGTGCTGGATGACCAAGGCGAGCCTCTGCACTTAGACCGAACCACTATCTCAGAAACACAGAGAACCCGCCAGTTTCGCCATGCGCCTCGCTCAGATCCTTCCTTCCGCTGCCTGGTGCGCCTCTCTGGCGCATGCCGGCAGCTACTATGGCTACGAGTCATCAGCCTCGTTTGAGGTGAACGGCTACAAGGCGAACGAATGGATGAAGATCATAGAGCAGGACACGTACATATCTGCCCTGTCAATACCGGGGACGCACAACACCATGACGTACAACCTGACGGATCCAGTGTACCAGTGCCAGAACCTAGATCTGTCGACTCAGTTGGAAGCGGGGATACGTTACTTGGACATCCGCGGGCGGTCGGTGGGCGGCGACCTCTACATCTACCACGGCAACGTGAGCACGGGATTCATGTTCAGGGACGTCTTGAACGACGTCTTCAGATTTCTGGGAGACCACCCGAGCGAGGTCATCATCATGCGTATCAAGGAGGAGGGTCCACGAATCAACACCGAGATCAGGTTCGAGGACGCCCTAATCCACGACATCGCCGAGCCGTCACCGCTGTACCGCCTGGCCGGCAAGCTCCTCCGCATCCGCGACGACGGCGACTATAGCCCCATGCCGACCCTCAAGGAGGTCCGCGGACAGGTCATGATCCTGCAAGACTTCCAGACCGTCGCGGGCCCCGAGAAGTACGGGAACGAATGGGCGGGCCACGAGATGGAGCTCCAGGACAGGTGGCAGGTTGAGGACGTCGACCACCTCGAGGACAAGTGGCAGGCGGTAGAGGAGACCCTCGAGAAAGCCGCCTCCTTCCAGACGAGCGGGAACGACAAGCTCAGAGTCTCCCACCTGAGCGCCTCATCTGGCGTCCTGCCCATCGTCGCTGCTGCCGGCCCCATCAGACGCCAGAACGCCAACGGCACCGCCATCGAGGGCATGAACGACAGGACTGCAAAGTGGCTCAACCTTAACCCCAGCCCCCGCGTGGGAAAGACTGGGATCGTCGTCGCCGACTTCCCTGGCAAAGAACTCATCAGCGCAATCATCTCTCGCAACGAGTATATAATCGATCCTGAGTAGAGGCACCGCGTGAGCGATGGGGCGCAGCTCGGGACCAGGCCAGCCGAGATGTTTTGGTGGGAAAATATACCTTTTGAGAGTCTCTTCTCTTCTTCTTGGTCCCTAGAGTCAGTACTATTATGTCTTGATACCATGTATGGATACATACATCCAAAGCAATTAAGAAATGGGGGCGTGGACAGCCCCATTTCGAAGTTGGTGACACGAGTAGATTCCTGTGCCTATTCCTGTTCCCGTTTCTGTCTTGCCCCGTTCTCTAAATTCTTAGCTAAGCTGTCAAGGTGATGCATTTTACCGAGGCACACAGTCAAATCCTACGGAGCGATCGGATCCAGGATACATGCATATGCTTGTTCAACACTCGAAGCAGCTTACGAGTACGGCTGACGGGAACTCGAAATCATCCGTTCTCTCTCGACCCAATCATCCATCATCCATCCTTGCCACCATTCACGCGTCGCAGCACGCACCCATATCTCCATCACCGCCCATTCATCCATCCACACGCGCTATATCCCACATCGACAGAGCTACTATCAGTAGAGTACGAATAGAGTTGACAAGTCCCAGATGGACCAGTCCCCCGGCCATGCGACCTGGTGGTCCCCGGCCAGCCTGTGGGTGCCTAACACATCACTCGTCGTCCGTTCCATTTCGTGGGCTTGCGTAAGTTTTCTTCTGCTGTCATGCTACTTCCCAATACCTACTTCTTGAACTTCGATCCCCCGGGGCGCCATGCGAAGCCACGTGCGTGTTGCTGACCCTGTGCAACAGCTAGGCTTGGGAATCCTCTTCATCGGACCGTTTGCCTTCCTCATCCTGCTCGACATTCTCCTCTGGCTATGGCGCACTCTTGGAGGCATTTTGCCTTTCACCGCCACGACGCCGCAGCCGCAGCCGCAGCCGCAGACTGTGCCTCCACCGCCGACGAGACGAACTGACGATGACGAAGCGACTACGACAACAGCCGCGACAGCCTCTGGCGTAAATGAAAGAGATACTACTACGCATAAACGGACGAGTGCAAAATGAGAAAATTACCGGCCGCATCTCGTTGCTCAACTTTATTTGTTGCTATGTTTTACTCGAGTTCCTTGCCAGACGTGTTTTGGGGCGGCAGCTCCTCCCTACACATCATCTACGCAATCTGAGACAGGACCTTGATCAGGTCGGCGGTCACGCCCATGGCCGTGACATCTCCGCCGGCGCCGGCGCCCTGGACAATGAGAGGGTTGCTACCGTAGCGCTCGGTGTAGAAGTTGATGATGTTGTCGCTACCCTTGAGGGCGGCGATGGGGTGGGAAGCGTCGAACTTCTCGAGACCGACCTTGACCGACTTGGTGGCCACGTCGATGCTTCCGACGAAGCGGACAACCTTGCCGGCCTTCTCGGCCTCGGCCTTGACCTCCTCCATCTGGTTGTCGAACTCAGGGAGCTTCTGGAGGAACTCGTCACCCGTGGCGCACGACTCAAGCTCCTTGGGGATCAGGCTCTGGACAGGGAAGGCCTCAGGGGACTCGACGGGGATGCCGGCCAGGCGGGCGAGGATGGTGAGCTTCCTGGCGACGTCGAGGCCGTTGAGGTCGTCGCGGGGGTCGGGCTCGGTGTAGCCCAGGGCCTGGGCCTTCTTGACCTCGTCGGACCACTTGCCGCCTCGGCCCGAGGTGGGGGCGAACGAGTTGAAGAGGAAGGACATGGTGCCGCTGAAGACGCCCTCAATCTTGGTCACCTTGTCGCCCGTGTCGACGAGGTCCTTGAGCGTAGAGATGACGGGGAGACCCGCACCCACCGACGACTCGTGGTACACCTTGGCGCCTGACGTCGAGGCCGCCTTGAAGATATCGTCCCACAGCTTGTACGAGCCCGAGAAGGCCTTCTTGTTGGGCGTCACGATGCTGATGCCCCGGCTGATGGCGAGCGGGTACAGCTCCGCCACGTCCTGGGAGCTCGTGTTGTCGACCAATATCACCTTGGCGGGGGCGTCGGCGAGGTACTCGACCACCTTGGGCAGGGCGAGGGGAGCCTTGGACGAGGCAGACAGCGCGTCCGTCACGCCGTTCACCTCCACGGCCGAGTAGTCGTCATTGTAGAGGGCCTTACGGCTCGTGGCGATGTAGGCCAGCGTCAGCTTGGGCGAAGGCTTGCGGGTGGCCAACGACTGGAGCTGCGATAGGAAACACTTGCCGACACCGCCGACGCCTGCAAAAGGGTTATCAGCGGGGCAGCTCTCGTCCTCTAAAGAATACATGTTCACAATGTCATCGATCTAACTTACCAATGATGGCGATATAGACCTGGCTAACCGAAGACATTGCGGGCAAACAGCAAGCGATCGGCTTTGTTTCTTTGTTCTGGATGATGGATGAGAAAAATTGGGGGTCCGATGGCGGGGCAGCGTTGGCGTGCTTGTCTCCCCCAGTTGACCCCTCCTCTGCAACCTCCTGAGGGTTGGAGAAAGAAAAAAAAATCACCATACCACACGTCATGCCAGAAATGTGAAGAACGTTACTACCGTCTATAGCCTGACTGCACCACTAGGCCAATGCGACTTCAATGTCGAATGCTTGGGATTTCAATATTCCATGCACGGACACTCCCGGTCCTGTAGGATTCAGTGAGAATGGCACTTTCTACGTAGAATAGCAACCGAATTTGCTCAATTGCTCAAGTTTCCTCTCGATGGTTAGTACCGGGTAAGCGGTTAGGCAGCTTGCTCGACTGCCTAGCCGCGAAGAAATAGTTGAGGCCGAGGTTAATCATCCATAAGCGCTTTGGAGTGCTTCTAGATGGGCATTGAATATGTCGTCTCTTGCGACATTGTCATCCTCAGGTTATACCCGTTGGCATTGATGTCCTGTAGCTTTGAATGCTGCCCAAGGGGCATGTGACGTTGCGACACTCCCTTTATTTACGGTGTACCACTAGCGCGTACCCAGTCGCCACACTTTCCCTCGTACCTGGTCAACGTTGAAGCCATCAAGAGCGACTCACATATGGATAAGCAACTACATCTCATCATCATCCATACATTGCTTTTGAATATACTCCTCTTCCGCTAGGGATCTCGTCGCATACATCGCCATGCCTCAGGATGCCAACCTGTACGGGCAGCGTGCGCCCAAGAAGCAGAAGCGCGGCACCAACCTGTCGTCGTCGCTGGATTTTACGGCCCAATTGACATCACTCATGGCCAACGCGACACCATCGTCGGGCTCGTCAGGCGGACGAGCACGGCCCTCCAAAGAAGCCAAGAGTGACATATTCCGAGGAGCCGGCAAGAAGAAGAAGAGACGCCTTGAAGGGGGCGACAGCAGCAGCAGTGGTAAGCTAAGGCTCAAGGAGGTGACGGGGACGGAGGAAGAAGCCCAGCAGCACGCGCGGGCGAAGCGCAAGCTGGAGGAAAAGGCACGGGTGTACGCGGCCATGAAGAGGGGGGATTACGTGGCCAAGGAGAACGAGGCAGCACCCTTGGTGGATTTCGACCGGAAATGGGCAGACAAGCACGACAGATACAACGGGTACGCGAGCAGCACATCGGCGTCCTCGGATGACGACGACGACGACGACGACGACGCCACCGGAGATGGAGATGAGATGGTCGAGTACGAGGATGAATTTGGCCGTCTACGACGCGTGACCAAGTCGGAAAAGGAGAAGATGGAGAGGCGGCAGAGGAGAGGGCTTCTGGGAGCAGAAGAGCTGGAACGCATGTCTGCGCGGCCGAGCGCGCCGACCAACCTGATACTCGGAGACGCCATCCAGTCCCTGGCCTTCAACCCAGACGACCCGGACAAGATGGAGGAGCTGGCACGCAAGCGCGACCGCAGCGCCACGCCTCCAGAGCTCGAGCACTACGACGCGGACCACGAGGTGCGCAACAAGGGGACGGGCTTCTACAAGTTCAGCAAGGACGAGGACACGAGGGCCAGGGAGATGGAGTCGCTGGCCGAGGAGCGTAAGAGGACCGAGGAACTGCGCAGCGACAGGGAACGGAAGCTGGAGGCGCGGAGGAGGGAAATTGAGCAGCGCAGGAGAGAAATGGCCGGCAGGAGAGCGCAGAGACAGGCTGACAGTTTCCTGGACGGGCTCGCCAATGCTTGATCCGGGCATGCTCGGGTGGAAGGCAGGCAATACGGAGCATATTATCGCGCATCACATTCACCACCAGTCCACGATGATGATTGACGGTCAACAAGAGTGGCGATAAACAAACGCCGAGTATGGGCATGGGCATGGGCATGGGCATGACATTGCATGTAACTATTCATCGTGTTCAGTATTCTTCCCTTGTTTCGAGGTACGAGCCCACGTTTCAACACAGACGCGGTGACACACCTGCCCTACTGGCCGTGTGGAGAAGGCCCGTGCGCGGCATCGGCAAGCTGATTTAGGACTGACTGTTTCCCACCGGGGAAGGACTCTCTGGATTATACTAAATAGTGAGGTCAGTAAGCCAGTCAATTACAGGTAATACGGGCGTAATGAATCCCTACGGCGTTTCAAACGGCGCATCGCGTGCGTGCATCCGTTATTGTCGAGACGTACAGCAACGGTTGTCGTCGGCAGCCCATGCTTTGAAATCCAGCGTTGTGTCAACAGGATGATGCTCGAAGGGGCTCATCACGCATCCTGTTGTCGGCATCGGCGGACGAATGGCTGGTGGATATCCGGCTCTCGCATGCCGCTTGTGGGATCGTACAGTCTCGTCCGAGGCAACAGATCACTACCACTAGCGAATAGACTGGCCGTCGCCGGTCCTATTGCAACCTGTTCACAACTTCTCGGCCGCTTGGGAAGAAGTGTGGTGGGGCGACGGGACGTTGGTTTTTGCTCGAGTGAGACTTTATTCCTGGGCTCTCCCGCCTTTTCTTCCAACTGTCTTCTCTTCTCGTGCGGTAAATAGGCGGGGCATCTCTCTGGTGTGCTGCATGCCCGTAGCCGTAATGTGTACATATACTCATACAATGTACTACAGTCCTACAGGCAACACTACCGATATTACTCGTTTTCCTTCGGAGACTGTTTGAGGACATGCACGACGCGCACACTGTTGCGTAGTTCACGAGGTCAGCAGCATGCAAAGTATGCAGGAAGAGCGCCAGGGGTGGGGTGGGGGGAGGGGCCGGGTAGAAGAACCTCGACAAGGCATGGGATCCATCCAGCGTAAATTGCAAAGTCTTCGATCCCAGGCTCAGAAGTAGGCTCCCATAAAATTCGACCAATGATACACCACCGTGGCTGCATTTTCTATGGAGAGGAAAGGTGTGACTCACACGGTCAAATCGAGGCTAAACCCCTACGAGTAGAAGCGCTCTGAAAAGGTGAAAACCCTGCCCAAGGTATTACACCCAGAGACCACCGAATGCGTCGGAGGGATTTGCGAAAAGGGCCCTGTAAATGAGGGCCCAGAGGGTTATCCTGTTACTGGAGGGCATTTGCTAGGTAGGTACGGGCCCGGGCTGGCTGTCTAGCTACCTGTACGAGTAAAAACTCCGTAGTCGTATATCAGTCTATAGATGGGCCCCTCCCAGCAGGGCGCAATAGACAAGTAAGCTAGCGACGCCCCTTTTGTTAACATAGGACCGAGTACGAGTGTCGAGTGCTGTACGAGTATTTGTACTCGTATGCTGTGATAAAATGGCCCGAGTTTGCAGTATTATTGGTTGCGGTACTGGTGCTGTGAATGGCGAGTGGTACATTGATTGTCATTGTCGGGATGGGCAGAGAGCGTAGGAATATCCACGGGTGCGATACGAGTCCGTACGATATTATTACAGAGTAAAAAGAAGTGAAAGAAAAAAAAAAAAAGAAGAAGCAAAAAAAACACTGGACCACCAAGCACCCCGCAGGGTTTGCATACGCTCATGTTAGACTGTTGCCTGCCCTATTACTGCCCTGTTTACAGCCCTTAGTGACCCACCTCAGCACACACTGCACATGCCTTGGGTTTCGGGCTTAAAATCCCGGACTTCCCGCTTTCCCTGGGCTCCGCCTCTTTTCTTTTCTTCCCCTTCTCCTTCAACCCCCCAATACTCATACAAATCATCACATCAAGTTCATCGTCACGCCTCGGGCCGCCGTCAACATGCGCTAAATCATCCGCTCTCCCAGCGTCTTTCCCCCTCAACAACGTCAAGATTCAGTCTCACGACTTCTTCAACATAAACTCCACTCCAACCCGTTCAGGTCACCACCCGGTTGATTTGAACTTCAGCATCACGGACTCGTCCAACAGCTCCAGTTCCTTCACTACCGCCAACATTTCAGGCACAGACTTCCCAGTCTTCACCACGGATTCCCAGTCAACATGGCCTCCTCAACCAGCTTCCAGCCTGCCGGCACAACCCGAGCACCAGCCGCAACCCAACAACCAGGACTTTGTCTTGTTCGACAGCCCTCAGCCGCCTGCGCAACCGCCCCCTAATCGATCTACGTCCAACTCGCTGTCTAGCCAGCGACGTCACTCGTCCCACAACAACCGCGTCCCCTACCAGTCCCCAGCAATCCAGAACCAACGAGTGGCCCAGATCATCCAGGCTACAGGTCATCAACAACAGCAACAGAATCAACAGCAACAGTCTCCTTCCCCCGTCAACGCACGTCCTTCCGGTCACAACTTTTACGCCTCGTCGGCTCCTCCCTCCATCGTGTCGTCGAGCAACAACGACTCGAACGCGCGGCCCGCAAAGCCCCCCGTGCCCCTTTTCCACCAGAGTGCCGGTCTCACCACAACCGCCGCAAAGATGATGAACGCGGCCGATGTCGATCTGGATGAGTTCGCCGCCTTTGAGAATGGAGGCTATACAGCCTTTTCTTCTCCGGCGGTGGCCACCAACCTCGACTTCTCGGGCAGCGCCTCGAGCTCCATGACCAACTTTGTTACCGTCTCACCACACGATCTGCTCGTCGCCGACAGCTTCATATCTGCCCCCAACTCGTCAGCCCTCACAGCCCTGACGTCGCCCTCCATCAACGAGTCTCCAGACTTTGACTCGTACGATGTGTCGCCCAACTTTGGCAGCGCCGATTTCGAGTACCCTCCCACTGACAACTGGTACCCACTCTTCCCTCCTACCGACGCTGGCATCCCCGAGCAGCCCAAGAAGGTGGAGACGTCCCCTACGGAGCGGTCCGACGACCTCGACGCTGCCGAGCTTCGCTCAATCAGCAGTGCCCGACGCAAGTCGGGTACATCGCCCACCACCACGACTGGCGCTCCCCGTCACTCTTCTGTCTCTGGTGTCAACGCGCGTAAGCGTGATAAGCCCCTGCCACCCATCATCATCGATGATCCCTCGGACACCACGGCCATGAAGCGGGCCCGCAACACCCTTGCTGCCCGTAAGTCTCGCGAGCGCAAGGCTCAGCGACTGGACGAGCTTGAGGACAAGATTGCCAAGCTCGAGGCGGAGCGTGACCACTGGAAGAGCATTGCTCTTGGCCAGTCAGGCACTGAAAACTGAAGAAAAGTCTGCTTAATTTGTCCTACTCATTCTTTTGTCTCTCTGTTTTAATTATTTGCACGGCTGAGTGTTTGAATGAATCCGTGGTGTCTACAGATAAGCCACGATGAAATATTGTGTTTTGCTCGAATGATTCTTTTTATTCTCCTTGGAACCAAATTTAGTGGCCCAAGGGGCTTTGCTTTCCTTGTGCGGTTCGACTCGTGTCTATCTCGTCCTAGTTTGTGATAACTCTGCAACCGCTTTTTTTCAAACTACGCTTTTTTCAAATCATTTCGATCAATGCCATAGTGTCCCATCTGGTGAAGTCGTGTTACCACTACTAGTATTACTGTACTGCCTGGTAGGTACGAGATTATCTAGCAAATCTAAAGTCCAAGCACGTTAGATTGGATCTCTTGTCAAGCCACACCTGTCACCGGCTATCCTATCTCCCATGTCGTCTGGAATTCAACTTTGTATGAGTGGGCGCTGATTAAGTCTAGTCATGGTCTCAAATTTGGGTTATCACGTCCTGGGAAGTCTAGACCATGCGACAAGATGGATACCTACCGTAGATGGGGCAAACCACTACATCGTTGGAAAACTTTGCAATTATGGTGTGTAGGTTTGAGGTATTCACATAGTACCCCTCTGGTAAAAGAAAGACCAATGATCCTAAAAATGAAAATAAACAAAAAAAAAAAAAGAAGAAAGAGAGGAGCAAGAAAAAAAATTGAATCGACACCGACGTGATTCGAACACGCGCGGGCGAACCCAACACCTTTGAATTGCTTTCTCGGTTTATCCTCGAACCCGGGAGGGTACCGAGTTGTCCGTCTAAATAGCAGGGTGCCGCCTTAACCACTCGGCCATAGTGTCTAGTACTTGTTGAAAAAATAGACGGTAGAGTAGGACTATAGACCAATTCAGGTGAAGGGGTTCGCTCACCAGCTAACATCCGCGCACGTCAACTTCTCTCTTTACCTCTCTCTCCGATTGTTCTTCCATTATTTTCAAGCGTGCTTTGGGATCATGATTTAAACGTCCTATTACGACAATACAGCTCGTTTTTACTTTGGTCACTCTAACTCCAGCCCGCATGCACCTTGACCTCGTACACTTATGATCCATCACACGCTATGCCTCGTGGAGGCTACATCAGAGGTGTCATTTTGTCTCTCACCTCTCTATGGATGGGGGTAGAAACGCCGTTGGCAACTGGAATCACACATCTAGATACAAAGCATAGAGGAACTTTTTCTTCTTTTTTTTCTTTTTCGGGTTTCGGTATCATTAAACCTTGTAGTCTCCTCTTCTCGGCATCCTTCCCTCCCACCTCTGGTGGAAACCCTGGTGTACAAGGTTCAAAGGCTGCAGGAACAGACGTGCTTGGCAGTATTATGATGACGACGTGGTCATCCAGTCAGTCCCAACTCCCATGTAATACTCGTACGAGGGGCAGCTGATCGATGTTCTGTGTGTGGCGCCCGGCAACAGCCGTCGATAGCCGTACGCACCAGACACTTTGTTCCAAATGTCTCCGCCCCCGTGCAGACCTACTTGTCTTGGGTTGATGATGGACTTGTGTGGAGGGAGGGAGGGGAACACGGGATGTTTTTTTCATTCATTCACAACTTCTTTCTTCTTCACCATCTCGCTTATTATCCTGGAGCCCTCCTCAATCTTGGGACTTCTTTCTTTCCCATGGGGTGATATACGCATAACCACGAGGCAGAGCCCCCTTAACGCCAGACATCATACTTCTTCTACCAAAGGTGAGCGGAAGACGACGAACAAAAAGACGAATAGGAGGAACCGAAATCATGGGCCTCGGATCGAGTACGTCGCAGACCTCACACCCTGAGGGTGAACCCCGATATTGGTACCGCGACAACTTCTTCATGACGACCGACAAGTCCCGTCTGGACGCCAAGCTGGTCAACGACGTCTTTGACTCCGACTTGATGTGGTGGAACACGGCGCTGGAGCCGGACCAGATGACCAAGATGCTGGACAACTGCCTCACCCTGGCCGTGTACTGGGTTCCCGAGACGGAGGCGCACATGAAAGGTGGTGCTGCACTCCCAGGATATATAACCCACCCCCCCTCCAAAAAAATAAAATAAATAAACAGTTCGCTGTTTCCTTCCATGGGCTAACACTTGTTGAAATAATAGAACACGGTGCCCCGCGACGGCAGCAAGGCCAGGATATTCAGTTTGTCGGCTTCGCCCGCCTCGTGACCGACTACGTCACCTTTGCGTACCTCACCGACGTCTTTGTCCTGGACGACTACCAGCGCCGCGGGCTGGCGTCGTGGATGATGCGGGCCATTAAGGACGTGGTGGACGGCTGGCCAGATCTGCGGGGGCTGATGCTAATGACGCACGACGAGGCTGCTGCGCGTATGTACAAGTCCACACTTGGAGCCGTGCACTTTGACGATGGCCCCTCGGCTGGGCTGACGGTGCTCGAGATGGCTGGGCGGGCCGAGAAGCCGATACCCAAACAACACTGAGCGTGTTTGGCCGGAGACTGTCGGTTATGACATAGCTTGCGTCTTGTCTTTTGTGTGCCTTGTTGTCTTGCCCCCCTCCCTCCCCCATCCATATACTTGCTCCCTGATGCTCTCCCCCCCTCCTTCTTGTCTGGTCAGATATAAAAAAGAAGAAAGGTTTCTCTGAGAGCCATGAACAATTAATATCTTCACTTTTGGGGACCACTGGACAGGGCAGCACGCAGTTCAATAGCGCGCTTGTAGGGTGGCGCAATGGGCGGCTGCACGGGATCAAGCGAGACGTAGTCCTCCGGCAGCTGGTATGACGCGTCCGAGTCAAATGCCGACAGGTCACCGCACGCGACAAACGGCGCGATCCAGCCGATGCTTCTCTGTGCTGAACCATCACCGGTGGCCTCGTCGTAAGCCTCAATCTCGACGATACCGTCATGGCCACCCAGTCCTGTTGAGAGGGCGGTGGCGGCAGCTGAGCCCCAAGTCCCCGTGACAGGATCCTGCAAGAGGTCCTGTCCAACAATGGGCCGTTGCATCTGCCGCTGCTCAAGCATACGGTCGAGTCGGCTGCCGACACCGAGCGGCTCTTCTAGGCTGGCACGGAAGCCGGGAGGCGGGCGGAAGTTGATGCACACGATGAAGGCCTCGATACTGCTGGCGCGGCTGGAGCGGGGTTTCGCGACGATGACCTTGTCGAAGAAGATCTTGAGCTGCGCGTAGAGCACGTCGACGTTGCGGCCGCGGAAGATCTTAGCAACGAACTTCCCACCGGGCTTGAGCACGCACAAGGCCAGGTTGAGCGCGGCGAAGAGCAGCTGCGACTGGACGTAGATGTCCAGGTCGTGCAGACCCGTTACGTCGGGTGCTCCGTCGCTGAGGACGAGGTCGACCGGGTTTGAGGCCTGGCTGTCGGTGCTGGCACCGCCGCTCGCCTTCTTGGCGTCGTAGTCTGGGTCCAGGGCCGAGAGGAGCAGGGGCACGGTGGCTGGGTGCGTGATGTCGGCTCGCAGCGTCGTGATGCCCGCCAGCGGCGAGATGGGCTGCAGGTCGATGGATACGATCTTGACGTCGTCGCGCGGCTTCGACTCGACCTGCTCCTGCGACAGCTGCTCGTCCAGCTTCACGCTATCTGACTCGGAGAACAACTGGGGCACGACGCCCAGCATCTGCTGCCGGAACTGTGCCCCGCGGTCCTGCCATGCTGATCGGCCGAATTTCTCGCCCTTGATGAGGACGCGGGATAGGACCTGAGACCAACTTCCCGGAGCGGCGCACAGGTCGACGACGCGTGAGACGTTGGCAAAGAGGTCGAATTCTGTGGGTTGGAGGGGTAAAGTCAGTATTACACAGAAGAGATAAATTTTTTTTTTTAAAAAAAAAAACCCCCCCAAAACAAAACAGTACAAAAAGACTGTCCAAGGACTTACCCTCATCGAGCTGTAGGAGCTTGAAGGCACTGCGGGCACGCCATCCCTGCTCCTTGGCTAGACGGTAGTAGGCGTCTCTCTTGTCCTTGGAGGATTTGCCCATGACGTTTATGGCTTTCGTGGACGAATTTGTGCCGCTGCTTGGGAAAAATTGAATGAATCCCTCCCCCCCTCCACAATGAAAATCTCCAAGATGGTGGGGTCGAAATGTGTGACGCTGCCACCGACGCAGCCTGAGTCCACCGTTCTCGATCACGTGTCACCATAGCCAGAGCATTTACATGTACACAATTCCCACCGGTCGAGTATCGCTCTAGGTCCTACTTGATCGTAAACGTCTATTACGATCACTGTTCCTGAAATGCCTGTCATCTGACCTGGGGCAACATTGATGCACGAGGATACGCCTGGAAGGAAAATATCAGCTGCACACCAACCCTCACGGATACAGAATCACATCGCCGAGGCATCACAGGCACCCACCCCTCTCTGAACACTTCCACATACTCTGATGCTACCTCAACCAATGTAGTGTGCTGGTTCATCTAGCCGGTGGGAGGGGGGAGGGTGACAGCTTGGTAAGTTAGCTCTCGCCAGCCTTTCTAGGTTGTCGCCAAAAACACCAATGGCCGCCAGCGGATGCTGCTGGTTGCGAGTGCATGTCTGCCAGCATCCGCCCAAATCACGTCAAACGATGCAGTGCCCCTTTGTCGTCGTAGATCATGACAATATTGGAAGTAGGGGGTGGTACTCCGTACTCGATAGATGGCGGATTAGACGGCTCAATCGACTTGGAACCAACAAGGAAGATGTCCATATGTTGGCCGACGTTGCAAAATCAGCATGGCCGGATCTGGGCGGGAGTCTGCTGGCTTTGGACGACAATGCAGGCAATGGACACAGAAGAAAGGGACGGTGACGTGTAATACCCACCTGTTTCAGGCGTCAGGTGTCAGAGGAGAATGTACAGATTATATTGGTATTCATAAATCTAAGCAGTTCGGCTGTCATCGGTGTCGTCGTGATCGTATCCTCGGCCCACATTCATTTACACCAGGCACCTAGACGCCAGTCAATCAATGTATGATACTGTCGTCCATGGCTGGGCCACAGGGCCATGTGTTTCGACCAGCACTGGTTCCACCATCTCGCATTCGTGTGTATTGGTTAGTTAGATAGATCATCATCACCTTCATGCTTCCTCTTGTGCGTGCACTGTGCCTCCCCTTTGGTGCCCAACGTATGCGTACATGTAAATGTAACACGTCGTTACTCAAATCCTAGTAATACCATGGGACAGCCCTGATTACAGGAAGTTCACCCCTGTTACGTTGTAGAGTGTCCCCCAGTACGCATCATCCCAATCAATCATTTCCGGCCTCACCAGTTCGTCCAAGCTATGCCGTTCACCACCTTCTCTCGTAGCTCTAGCAGCCTGCAGTGTCTGGATATACGGGGGGACCTCGATGTCCTGAGTTATTCTCGGCTCCTGGACCCGCGCATTCCAAGCCTCGAGTACCAGGTCACCCATCGCGACGCAGAAGCTGCTGTCTGAGCCGAAAGTCGACCCCTGGCACGTAGAGTAGATCTGTCCGACGAGCTTCCACGCCTTGTCGGCCTTGGCACCGAGCCTCTGTGGTTGTCTGAGGTCGCTGAGTACGTAGATTAGGGCATCCATGTCCAGCCTACCAGCCATGTGGGCGTAGAGACGACTGCTAAAGACAGTCTGGGAGATGGCGGCTCTAGACTCGAGAACTTGCAGGGCCGAATCAAACCAGGCATCCAGTTCTTCCTGGTCTACCTCGTGAGGGTCAACGGAGTCCCCCCCCGAAGACTTCGGTTCAAGACGTTTGCGGGGATGGTTCGCCTTGAGTCGCATATTGGAAAAAAATGACCTGATCAGGTTCAGTGCCAGGAAGTGCAGGGGGATGCGGTCGTCGAGGAACCTTGTGAACCTGGCATCGATGTGCCTCTGTAGGTCGTCAATGGTTTCGTTCAACTCTCCAGTAGTCAGCCTCTTGATAGAAGCGGTGGGGTGGAGGCTTTGGAAGAGCCTCTTCCCTCTCAACGATGTCTGGATCCACTGTATTGCCTCGAACTTGATGAGCGGAAACAGCATCTCGGTAGGACCGGGCTGGGCGACGGGCAACTCGGCCATGGCGGGATGCAGATCGGCATCGTTGACGTTGAGAGGCGCCCGAATACCAGTGTGGTCCGTGAAGGGTGGCTTGGCATGTGGGATAAGTAGCGAGACGCTGCATATCTCGAGGCCGCGGAACTGCCACCACAGGCGCACACGCATCTCGGTCTCGAAAACCGTTATGCTCGGGTCGTCGGTCGTCGGTGGGAGGCCTATGCACTGGGCAATCCTGCTGGCGATGGCGATGAGGCTAAGGGAGAGCTTCGAATCCGTGTCGGAGAAGAGGTAGAGCACGAGGGCCTGCAGGACCTCAAAGTCTCTGGTTGTGAAGATGTCGGCTAGCACGAGAGCCCGCAACGCTGCGATTCGATAGCGTTCCAGGAGGCTGCTGCGGGACTCGGAAAAGATACTGCTGCACTCGGATGACGATACGCTCGTCATTGCCAGTGTATATATAGCAAACACCATGGCTTGGTGAGCCGTGCCGAGCCCCTTGGGGTCCCAGCTGGCTTGGAGGATGTGCTTGTGTAATGACGGTGCGTGGGCAAACTTGATGAGGGGGTCAACCCTCTCCTTGTACAGGTCCCATAGGCGGTAGATGTGCCTCGGTTCAGGATGCAGTTCACTTAGATCAGGACTATTCACAGTGAGTATCTCGTGAAGTGGCGGCGCAGGATGTAGAACTGGGTCATCCTCGTTTCTCATGAATTGAGTGGGTGGGAATTGTAGCTGTCAGACAAAGAGGCTTGTCAGCACATCCGAGCTTCTCAAATACCATCAGAAGTGGCAGAGGTAACTGACCTCGGGCCTGAGATTCATCCAGAGTGGACTTGTGTGTGCGTGAGCTCCCTGCTCCAAGTTGCGTCGATTTCCCTGATCGTGGCAGGAATATCTCACCTTTGCAGAACCTCTGTGGTTGCTGTCGTGGTGGATTGTGCAGACCTTGTATTGGAGGGTGTGTCCCCAGGCTTGATCTTGGCCTTCCCTGTATTCGACGGCACCTCTGGAGGCATCCAGACGTTGGAAGACTGCGTAAAGTCCAGACCATGTTTCTGCATGAGAATCTCATACTGCGCGAGCCGGGCTAACAGCTCATTGTCCGTCGCCGTACGCCTCGGTCTCCTTTCGGAGCGAAGACTATACAGACACTCCTCCCCAGCTTCTCGACAATGCGAGCACGGATCGAGTCTGTCACACTTGACTTTGCGGCGAGCACAAAGGGAACATGCACGCCGACGTGAGCGTGAAGGTGCAGGTAGGGAGACCGACTGCGATGGTGTCTCGACCATAACTCTTCCCAGCGATTATATTCAGTTTCCTTGAACTTGTAGAGAGATTCACGATGGACAATATGAAGGAAATAAAATCAATGAAAAAAAAAAAAGAAGCCTATGAAGCACACGTTGAACGGCTCGTGATGATAAGACTGTGAAGGCTTTCACTGAGGTCGAAGGTGAGACCGTCGAAAATCCGGTCGGACATTTCGGCACACAAACGTGGTTAAGCGCCGGACGGTACCCTGCATCCAATCGGGAACTCTTTGCCCGAGCCCCATACTCGACGGCCCCGTCATATACAAACATGGCCATCACGGGCTTTGGACAATGCGGAGATTGAGTCTCTCAAGTGCCGAAGAGAAGTTTATTCCCATTTACATATAGAGCTGTGAGCTGAACGGTGCCATGTCCCCTTTCTCGACGCACTATATGTGTAGTACGACCCATCATAGCCTGCCATGTAATACATACACATACGTTCTTTCATGACTACAAGTACAACCACGTCCCGACGGCTTATTTCTCGCTAAGCTCATCTCTCGTTCTCTCCATTACCAGAATTGCCTACCAGGGATACCATAATGGCATCCGAAGAGGCACGGAGGTCGGTGGATAGCCACCATCCGACCTTGAGCACACCACAATCCCAGGACCCCGAAAAGAGCTCCGAGAATGACGCCAAAGTCGAGAAAGTAGAAGAGGAAACATACCCTTCGGGGTTGAAGCTGCTCATAATCATGGCTGCACTGCTTTCAGCGGTTTTCCTCGTGTCTCTTGTTAGTCTTGAATCACCTCCCACCCCAGACGCGCCCTTCTCTGGTGCGCCTTCTGATTGACGAGTGCGACACAGGATCGAATGATCATCGCGACAGCTATCCCGAAGATCACCGACGATTTCCATTCGGCCGACGACATTGGCTGGTACAGCACGGCTTTCCAGCTCACAGCATGCTCATTCCAGCTACTCTACGGAAAACTCTACACAACCATGAACGTGAAGGGTGTCTTCCTCACTTCCCTGGCCATCTTTGAAATCGGATCTGCGATATGCGGCGCGGCTCCGAATTCGATCGCCTTCATCATTGGCCGCGCGATTGCGGGAACGGGGACCGGAGGGCTCGTGAGCGGCAGTGTAAGTCTCAGATGAATACACACCCTTGGGCCCCGGGGTTAGAAAAGGCTAACCTCTCTTCCTGATAGATGTCTCTTATCGTCTACACCGTACCACTCCACAAGCGCCCTATGTACCAGGGTTTCTTTGGTGCCATATCCGGTGTGGCTTCCGCGGCCGGGCCGCTTTTCGGCGGCATCTTCACGTCCAAGGCCACATGGAGGTGGTGCTTCTACATAAATCTACCCCTAGGTGCATTGGTCGGCATGGGAGTCATGTTTTTCCTCCAGGTTCCGAAGGCACCCGAGATGTCTCTCAGGGACAAGCTAGCCCAGCTGGACTTTTATGGTACCGGCTTGATTCTGCCTGGTGTCGTCTGCCTCGTTCTGGGGTTGGAATGGGGAGGCACCACTTACGCTGTACGCAACAGAAACCAACCCCAACCCCCCGGCTTGCAATTTCGCGTCTCACTCGCTGACCATTGATACCTGAAAACACATAGTGGAACAACGGCCGTATCATCGCCCTGTTTGTCATTTCTCCGCTGCTACTGATCGCGTTCGGCCTGGTCCAGGTATATCTCCCGAAAACCGCCACTTTGCCCCCTCGGGTGATGAAGCAGCGGAGTATTCTTGCCGGGTGTTTCTCTTGCGTCTGCAGGGGATCAAGCATGATGGTGTTCAGTAAGTAACGGCGCGTTCATCCTCATATGGTGTATCTCTGCAGGTCCGAGGCCAACAACGAGTTTCTAGTGTTCTATATACCCGTCTGGCTGCAGGCCATCCGAGGCCTCTCGGCCGTACAGTCGGGTATACAAACCTTGCCCATGCTTCTCCCCATGTTTGGTGCCTCTCTTGTGGGGGGCATACTCATCAGACGCATTGGCTATTATACTCCCTTCTCCATCCTGGGGGATGCAGTCGCAAGCGTGGGTGCCGGCTTCATCTACACCCTCACTGCCGACAGCTCAAAGTCCCAGTATCTCGGCTACCAGTCAATATACGGTATAGGCCTCGGGCTTTCGTTCATGGCGCCTAACATTGCTGCGCAGACGGTACTTCCCAAGAGGGATGTGCCCATTGGCATAGGGTTGATATTCTTCTCCCAACTGATTGCACCGTCTATCCTCGTTCCCGTGGCACAGACCGTGCTCAACACGCAGCTACAGAAACAGCTCTCTGGTCTCCCGGGTCTCGACAAATTCTCACTGGCGGACGGGGGTGTAACTTCGATAGTCGACCTCTCCCCATCCGTAAGACCACAGGTGATCCGTGGCTATGCCAAAGCTCTTCAGCACGTTTTCATGGTGGGCTTGATCGTGACATGCATCAGCATATTCGGGTCGCTTGCTTTAGAGTGGAAGAACACGAGGGAACAGCTGAACGAGAAGAAGAAGCTGGCCGATTCCAATGCTCCAAATGAAGAGGTGGAGGCAAAGTTGTCCATTTCAGGTGGTCAAGAGAAGCACTGAGCGGCGAGGTAGATGAAAAGATCGGAGGACCTGGTGTAGAATCCTACGGCACTTTCATGGTAAAGATGGAAAAAGGTCTGTATTGCCATGTATAATTAATCTCTGTATCATACTTGACAAGAAGCACGTCACGTTCATTTTCGCCGTCCGATGCTACTACCATGACATATGGCTAGTTGAATCGTCCTCCAGTAATCCAACCCACATCGATATCTCGGTATTCAGGCAGACAAGGCTGAGAGAACAACCTTTGTCATGGCAAGAACTTTTTCTTCCTCCAACCGCCTTGCTGCCAGCTGAAGGTTGATGGGCAATCCATGAAACGTCTCGGGATCATCTAGAATCCAGTCAGTCAGCGTGGCGATGATGATGTCGAAATGGACCACATACAATCCTCAGTGACAAGCCTGTCGTCCTCGCTTAGATACTCGGTTCGCTCTTCCTTCTCATCCGTGTTCTTGTCAACGGTCAGCCCCGTTGGAAAAGAGACGACGGAGTAGTCGACCACGTTAAAGACGCCGGTGTAGCCAACTGTACAAAGTTAGTGTTGAGCCAGCCTTCTCTTCGTTTCGGAAGTCACACGTCTCTCTTACAGTTTCGTGTTTCCCCATGCTTGACAGCAACAGACGGCATGGTAGGGCAGAGGATCGCGTCGATCCCAGCGGCATTCCAGCGGTCGAGGTAACGGTTCTGGAAGGCACTCCGTTCCAAGTGCAATTTCCACATATCAGCGGTTCCGAGCTCCTCGGCCTCTTCATACGCCTTCATCTCGGGCCGCCACGGCTCTCCGCCGCGGAGAACCTCGTGGCGGATGGTTAAGCCTCCGTCGGCCAAGAACATGCGACGAAGAAGGGAGGCTCCGGCCTTTTGATCGACGGGGTCCCAGTCGATGACCGTATGGCCGGCGGCCCGCAGTTTATCGACGGCGGTACGTAGACCACGCGCAATCGGAGGCGCAGGACGGATGACACCGTCGTCCCAGAGCACGGCAATCTTCAAGGAAGGAGGCAGCGGCTCCACGGGCCGCCAGGGGATGGACAGGCACTTGGCATCGTACAGCCAGGGCTGTCCGGCCAGAACGGCCTGCGTATACATGGAGATATCGTCAAGCGTACGACCCAGGGGACCGTTGACGGACATGACGGCCTCTTGACCCGGCATGCCGGAGCGACAGTTGCGCACTGGGAAGCGACCGCCGGATGCGCGCAGGGTGAAGAGACCACAGCAGGCGGCTGGAATGCGGAGGGATCCGCCTATGTCGGTGCCCACACCCAGTGGGCTGCCACCAAAGGTGATCAGAGCTGCCTCGCCTCCGGAGCTGCCGCCGGGGGTGACGCGGCGGTTGATAGGGTTGGTCGTGCGTCCGAAGACGTTGTTGACCGTCTCGGCGATCATCATCGCAGTGGGCACATTGGTCTTGACGTAGAGGACGGCGCCGGCAGCCTCCAGGATGGTGACGAGGGCGGCATCGGAGCTGGCCGGGTCGGAAACGTGCGAGGTGAAACCGACGGTGGAGTCTAGACCTCTCACGTTGATGTTGTCCTTGAGAGAAATGGGGAGGCCGTGGAGGGGGCCTGTGGGCTTTCCGGTGCGTGCAAATTCGGCATCGAGCTCCTTTGCGCGGGCGAGTCCACGCTCGAAGCAGTTCTCGGAGAGACAGTTGGTCTGAAAGTCAGCTATCGTCCGATCACCCGTCTTCCTTGACCAGATTTTGGGTCCCGGCTCACTAGCTGGTGCGCCGCGATTGCGCGTTTATAGAATGCTCGTACGGCAGCTTCTGCCGTCACCTCACCAGAGGCCAACCTCCCGAGAAGCTCAGTAGCAGTAGCACCTGTTATGCTGAGCTCTTCGGCAGTGAACCAGCCCGATGTCTGCGGCCACTCTCGGACGTCATGCTGGGAATCTGGCGGTAGCACTGTGCCGGGAACAAGAAGGTCTGCCGGGAAGCTTGCAAGAAGGGCGGACCGCTTCTTGGCACCGATATCATTCCAGGAAACGACAGTCATGATGCTGATACTGATGGTGTGGTCACCGGTGGTCTTGCCAAGGATTGTCTATAGAATGGTGAGACGGGAGATAAAGGAGGAAGAAGAAGGGGTGTCTGCTGCTGTCAACACTGCCAAGCAGCTTGCCAATACCGTCGAGAGAAGAGGAAGCGAGTAAACGCCCATCGATGCCGCTCTCATTGCGAAGGCAACCCCGGCACTAGTGAACACTATAAATAACATCCACTGTATGCATATGCACGTATCTGTCGACGATTTGTTTCGTTTCCTTATCGGGACTGGCCTCAGATGGATCTCTACCCCATAATACATCGACTTGCACGTATGACTAGGACCACTCGGTTTGAGAACAGGCATGATTACATTGTCGTCGTTATCAAAATACATGTATCGACTATGAACCCACCGCCAGGAACCATGTCATTCCCCGGAATAATCACGCATACCGGTTCTTATCTTGGCCAGCTCCCAATAGGCCTATCTGCCGCCAGTGTTCCTCACAACGCAGCAACCCGCCCGAGTATCTCGAAATGCCGGCACGCCTGCAGTTGAGCCAATACTGGCGCACAACATGGCAGTGATTGGGTGTAGATGCATGCATCCCCGCAAGATAGGCCGGAACGGCCATGTGAATGTAAAAGCGCGACGAGTGCGGCGCTGCCGCTAGCAGTTCGCAAAGCTTGTCCTCTACGGCAGCTATGGTGGCAGCTAGATCGGCGGCGGGCACGTCCTCGTCCGCGGCAACACGGCCGAGTACAGCCAACGCGGCCCCGCAGCGGTGGAGGTCCCCCCATATGCTAGGCATGCTGTCCTCGGTGCTCGCGTGGGCCGAGCCACGTGGACCGACCTCTGTCTTCACCTGGAGCAATTGCTCCATCGCGCGCAGACAGTTCCTCGTCAACTGACGGTCTCGGCTGTCTGCCTTGGACGCGTCTACGTACATGTCCATCGCACGCGCCGGGCACCCGATAATGTGAAGGAGATCGTTGTCGATGACGGCTTCAATGTGCCAGTCGTCAAATATCAGGTTGCATCTCTCCTCATCCTTGGTGTGACGTTTGGTGTTCCCGGTGCTGCGGCTGTTGCGCAGGACGCAGCTCGAGATGTCATACCACACGAGGCGTGCCAGGATACCGAGCAGGCCCGGTACAGAGGCCGAAAGCCTCAGGATATCGTCGCTGGTGCGACAACCGTGACGGTCCAGCAGGCCCCGCGCACCGTGTACGTGGCAGGGCCAATCGCCGAAGGAGGCGGTGTCGCACACCTCGAAGACGGCGAAGGCGGCGATGCCAAGAAATGCAAAGGGGTTGGCAGTCTCGATCGCCTGGTTGAGGTTTGCCAACGCCACCAGGCGGCGGTGCACCATGTCGACCGAGTCACTAGGGGGCGCGGCCTCGGCAGATGTGTCGGCGGCCGTCTCCCCGGGCACAGAACGGCCATGGGACCACGCTTGGATGAAGACGCAGAGGTTCGAGACAAGCTGCACGGTTTCCGCTGACAGGTGCTGGCTGCTAACCAAGCCCTCGTCTGTCTGTCCGGCACCGGATGCACTGTTCTCGGTCTCCAAGATCTCGTCGCAAAGCTCAGAGAGGCGTATTATCAAACTGTGCCTGTCGGTTTCGGGCCATATCCGCTGTCCTTGGAGCCGCAGGGCGACAGACTGAGACAAGAAGGGCGATCTAGACAGCGTCGCCGGCGATGGTACGGAAGATCCGGCGAGCGACGCAAGTGGCGAGACGGAGGTGTACAGACCCGGCTTGGCAGAGGTAACAGGTGGCGAATCCCAATCATCATCTAGAGAGCCGACGTCTGATTCTCGCGGCCACGTCTTGGGAGCTCGGAGAATTCTTCTCCTCTCTTCCCGGCTCACTTCTCTGCGCTCGGCAGTCCATACGACGCGTTGTGGGTAGTCGCCACATGGCAGGCCTGCCTGTACACATGGCAGACATCGCGGTCGATTGAGGTCGCATTTGAGTCCACGTCGCCTGCAAGTGAGGCAATCCCTATCTCGGCGCAGGCCGCGAGGCTTTCCGCGTTTGGTGGCTGGGGCCATGATACATGTAATACCACCCTTGTCTGCCTGTCTGCGGTTGCCATACATATTACATGCAGCTAGGTGAGCAGGTGGGCAACGGAAGGGAGATACCGTGAGATGATTGAAGTAGTGTCAGTGTGTACGCATGCAATCAAAGAGCCGACCTCTTGAGCGAGAGAGGAAAGGAATCAACGCGAAGCCGGTACAGTCACTTTTTTTTTGTGTCAATCTACAATCGGCTCCCGTGACGGGACGACGGGGCCTTTTATCTAGATAGATGCCTTGCCCAAAACAGAAGGGGAACAGACGACCTTATCTGGACCCCGCTTTCGGGTTTGGATGCAAAGATTCAGATGGGAAGACGAGTATTGCGCTGGCAACTCCGACCCCGACTTCCGGATGTTAATTTCCTCATGTAGTATTCATGGTTGCTATTCAGAGCTGATCCCGCCTTGACCTAACAGGTGCCTAAACAGTGTCCGATCTACACCAAAGTATATGTAGATGATAGGCCCTATAAGATTAGTAACTCCGTAGTTTTGCTTTGAATCGAGCATCCAGATACGATGGCTATTGGTTACCGAACATGGATATGATGCAATACTATGCAAATCATCGGCTTAACAGGTCTAGGGGTCTACAGCTTCCGACAACGTAGCTCTAACCTTCAAGCTTGAAGCTCCATACGTGGTTATGAGGCCACGGAGTGATGTACATGTAGGAGATGAATGGTGGTGAATGCACGTCTCGCATGGGCGCTTGCGTGTACAGCTGGTTCGCCTTCTACACCCCCAAGGTCACGGGTAGTCCCTGAGGAGACCGGGTCTTTCTCTCTGATGCCATGGTGAACAGGACCTGCCGTCGTTGCTGCAGGGGGCAGAAAGTCGAGGCCGGCATCGTACAAGAGGTGATATCCGACGAAACAAGGCTCCGTATATCCCCAGAAATGACCCGCGCCGCACCTGGCCGTGTCGACAAGATGGAGTTGTGATCCGTCTCGGGGACGGCTCTGTGCGAGGAAATGGGATCGTCGGCCGGATCGGCAGTGGCAGTCGTCTTCCTCTAGCAACTGATGAACCAGTCCGCACTGGGTGTGCCTGGGGTGCCGGTCATGGAGCCGGCTTGACCGAAGAATGCCATAAAGCCTAACCCCGTACGGAGTCCACCAGGCCAAGACCTCTTGTCCATGGCGGGGGCAGACACCATGGTGACGTACGAGGCCATCTTGCCGGTGTGTGCCAGGAGCGCCAGGGTCGCTCCCGTTATGCGTTAGCCATCATACTGCTCTCGCTGTTTCTGCTGTCGCCCGTCTTCTCTCACTTTTCGGAGTCATCGCCATCGCTCATACACGCAATGGCAGAGGCTTTTCCTTATCTCATCGCACGCGGTTGTGGGACTTCAGGCAAGAGGGAATGAATGACCGGGGGCTAGCTCGTCCGTTTGATCCTTGCTTCTCCCATGTCCACCCTACCTCGCCATTCAATCATCCTCTTTTCCGGTGCGGTTATTGGAAGTCATCTTGCCGAAGCCCGGTCGAGCTGCAGCGATAATCCGCACGTTGTGAGCCTTGGTGGCTGGATCCTTGGCCGCGAGCAGCATACGAGATCCGAGGAGGGGCCCGAAAAAGAAGAAGAAAGAGGAAGACATTCTCCACCCCAGGCTACTCCTCGCTGCGATAGCCAGAGTCTGCGTAGGGGTTTCGCAGAGCTGGACTGTCGGGAATGCGGGCGAAACGATCGTCTGCGAGGAAGGCGTCGAGGTAGTCGTCGCGAATCAGGCTGGGCGTCATGACGGCGACGGAAGCTTGTAAATATTATGTGACCCGACGAGAACGGAGAATGACACTTCAGAGACTGAGGGCATGAGTGGCCAGGTCTGTCTTATATCTAACCTTTCTACTACTTGCAGGTGATAATTCCCCAATCCCAGCTGCGCGAGATCATGATGACGAGAAAGAAAGACAGCCTCCATGACCGGTATTGTTCTTTATTTTACCGTTGTAATACATGCATGTAGTGTCCAGTGCGAGACCGGGTACGGATATTGGTACGGGTGTGTCGAATGCATAGGTACAGAGAGTATCATGCAGGCATTTACCAACCCACTCTTGTCAGGTCACTCTACATATGTCTGGTAGATTCTGCTCGTGTGTTCTGCAGGATGGCGGTCATGATTGAGCATCATCAATATTCGTATTCAATTCGTGGATGTGTGTATCCGTGGTTGGTTAGCGATGAGCCGTTTGCTAGTATTAATATGAGCTGGTTATCGGGTTGCGGGAGTGTGTTGATGGCAGCTTTACGGTGTTGGAGTTGTTTTACAAGTGATGACAATATAGACATATACATACATGTAGACATATATATATATATACATGTATACTATATCGGTTGTTTGGGGAAAGGCTAGATTGCAGAAAGAGGAACATGTACAGATGATGTTGGAGAGTATCCTAGCTATGATACCGTTTCCCCCTCAGCATTCAGATATATATATATATATACATAACATGTAATATATATTATCTCAATACGAAGTACGTCAATATGTATTATTATATCCAAGTAATAATACAGATAGATTACTTAGGCCTGCAAGATGTCTTACGCTTATCCGTGCTAATCTACAGCCTGGACAGCTAACACCGTCTTTTTCACTTTTCCTTATCATTAGAAGACGGATCTTGATATCGTCTCCGAAGACGGCACTTTGTACCTCTCCCGCCGGCATTGACAGCCATATCAGCGAAAGGGAAATGTTGCCTCCCATGTTCGACAACGGGACGGCGGGAGACTTACCCACAATGCATGATGCTATTGGCCAGTAAGTGGAACGATATCATGCAGTCCCAATATTACGGCACAATATAAAAAGCTGATAGCTTAGCGTCAGAACTGCAAGTACATGTATCGTGATCCTGCACTGTATCCTCAACTTGTTTTCTGGTCTTCATTCTCTCATGCCTGCTTTCTCCTTCTTGCTCATCTGACCCTTTCGGCTGCCTGTACCTGAGGGGCTGTCAACCGGTGCGTGCTTCAGAAATCTTCACTCTCCGACATGGCCCGATCACGACTCTATGACTACTTCCACACCCAGTACCAACCCGGCGAGCGGTTGCTGCTCGTGAAGATCGACTTCTTCATCCTGACCTTTTGCTGCGTGAGCTACTTTGTCAACTACCTCGACCGCACCAACCTCAACAATGCATACGTGTCCGGCATGAAGGAGGATCTGGGCTTCGTCGGAGACCAGCTCAACCAGATCAACACATGCTTCACCGTCGGCTATGTCATCGGTCAGATCCCCTCCAATATGGCGCTGCACTACTGGCGGCCGCGCTACTTCTTCCCGCTCACCATGCTCCTCTGGGGTGCTCTCACCATGGTGACGGCGTCTGCGCAGCGGCCGCAGTCCATCATGGCCATCCGCTTCTTTCAGGGCATATTCGAATCCACGTCCTTCGTGGGAGCCCATTACATCCTGGGATCGTGGTACACGGAAAAGGAGTTGGGGAAGCGTAGCGGTCTGTTCACATCCTCAGGTCTGGCCGGTACCCTCATCGGCGGCTTCATCCAGACCGGCATTCACGAGTCGCTCGACGGCCGCCACGGACTCTCCGGCTGGAGGTGGCTCTTCATCATCGACGGTAGGCAACACACCGCCCTGCACGCGACCGAGAGGCGACGCAGACAGCTGACGACAGTGACACTGCGCAGGGCTCCTCACAGTCCCCGTCGCTCTATACGGCTTCCTTCTCTTCCCAGACACTCCGCACACCACCACGGCATTCTACCTCACCGACCAGGAGAGAGCTCTGGCACAAGCTCGCGTCCCCGAGCAGCGGGAGACGGAGACCCACATTCCCGGTGCAGGCCCGGACACGAGCAAGCTCAAGGCCATCCTGGTCTATGCGCGTATGGTGCTCTCATCCTGGTACTGGTGGGGGTTCGTCATCCTGTGGATCTTGGCCGGTGAGACGGAGTCGTTCAGCACCAACGCCACGCTGGCCCTCTACATGAAGAGTCATCCGACAAACAGCTACACCGTCCCGCAGCTCAACAACTACCCATCAGGCGTCCCGGCCGTCGGCATCATCTCGACGCTCTTCTGGGCAACGCTGACCGACTTTTACGGTGGCAAGCGCTACCTCGTCGCCTACTTTGTGGGCATCACCGGTATCTGCACGGCCGCCATGGTCTTGGCTGCCGGCCGGGACCCGACAAGCGCACTCTCGACGCGTGTGACATTTGCCGGATACTACTGGGCCGGTTCCATCTATGCTTGCCAGGCCACCTTCTTTGCCTGGTGCAACGATACGATGCGTTTCGAAGACGGCCTCTTCCGCGCCGTCGTCTTGGCCGGCATGAACCTGGGCAGCAACGCCGTCAATGCCTGGTGGAGCATTGTCTTTTACGGAGCATCGTATGCCCCTTGGTTCAACGTGAGTCTATCTACCGCCCTTGTGCATACCCCTTTCGCCCTTGGCTGTCATGTACTTACACAGATTCAGCGCGGGATGTGGGCTATGATTGCGGTGTCTGTTGCTCTGATGATATGGGCTAGTGCAATGATATTGCTCGAACGCCGGGACAAGAAGCGTCGTGCTGTTCTCCACGGAAAGGAATCAGCTTCAGAATCGGGTGTCAAGTTACAGAAGCCAGAAGAAGCCTAGATAACGGCAATATATGACTCACGTTTCCTTTTCTGGTCTCAAGCTATATTGGAGCAAGGTAAATCGTCAAGGATCGGACGTGTTTGTGTATGTTATCCCAATAAGTGCACATCGCTCACGTCACTTGCTTGATTTATACGTAGCGATGGAGAGAGCACTGCACACACATAGAGGCTATATACTTCTCTGCTTCCAAACCGACCTCTGACCATGACGCGCCGTGTCACGACAAATCTTCAGGGGCTCGCAGGCATAGACACATACACCGGGTCTGCCTCCGAACTTGGCAGTGGGCCTCACCTCAGTCTTCCTTGTATTCGATCCTTCCGCGAATCCCATTCAAGCCTGGGAGCTGTGCGGGAAAAAGGCGACCTTGTTCACGCAGAATGATATATGCATGGCAACACGCCGTCTTTCCCGTGGTCTTCATCCTCGGGGAAGCTTGATTCAAGAATCCTGGCAGAATCGGCAACGTCTGAAGTCGGATATGGGACAGTATGATATCCAGGAAAGCTTACTTGGTACTCGGCGCTGGGATGTCCAGTACTATAACTCGAAGTCTGAGAGTGATGGAATTCTACTATATATATAGAAGAAGGATAAGCCGTTTCATCTAAGAAAGACATGCCCGTACACTCATTTTCCCCATCTCGGGCATAAAACAGTCTGCAAGACACGAGCCACTGTATGAAAGAGGCAGATAAAAACGTTGCCGTCCAGGACAGAAAAAAAAAAAGTATAGACAAGAACAGGAAAAGTATAGACATTGAATAGAGGAATACGTGTCCAAGAAAGAAGCGAAGAAGACGGAGAGAGAGTCGAGTTGGACGGACACAGCCCCCGTCGTTCATAGGTTACATATGAGTGTACCTCTTAGACGGAGCAGGGAGAGGCGGCGAGAGACCAGCCAGTAAGACGGTTGGCAACGCCCTGCAAGTAGCAGGAAGCGGAGGTGATGCCGTCGTTGAGGTCGGCGTAGTCGACGGAGCCGCTGTTATACATGCGGGCGGCAGCGTAGACGGCCTAGGAAAGAAGGGGTGTAGAGAAGGGAGTTCTGAAAGAATGGTAAGGAGTGGAACTGTTGGCCTGTATAGCTTCGATGAGGGAGTGACTGCTGCTGATGAGGACAGGATACGAGTTGAATTGGGGAGACGAGCCAGAAGCCCTATACATGGGCAGACGAGACATTGGGAATCTCGACAGCCCGGCTGGACTCCATCCGAAGGATTTGCGACTCAGCAGAGGATTGCGGTTGTAGTAGAGCACCAAACTTGTCCGTAAGCGCTCCTACCCAGCTGCCAAGGCAAAAAGTGAGCATCCGTGCGGATGACGGCTACGTCTGGCTTTGGTATCGCACATTGCAACACACATTTCCAAGCATGCGATAGATTTTATCATGACCTGACCTCAACCTCTGGAAACTCCATAGGCTCGTCCATCGAGGAGTAATCTTCCCACAAGGCTGTCATGTCGACTTCCAGCAGGATAGAGAGCTGACCAGATGTCACGAAGGCCCAGACGAAAAAGCCTAGCCATTCAAAGGCTGATGAGTCGCAGATGGAGTCCGATCTAGCGATGCCCGTGCATGGTATCACCTCCTACCATATCGGGGTGTCGGAGCGTCTACAGCAGGATCATCTCCACCAGTTCCTCATCCAGTCAGCACCCGTCCCCGCTGTTTCGGTCTAATCCGGGGTGCCGCCGCCGTCTGTTGACGCAGGTACACAATGCATCGGGTGGAAGTCTGTGGGAAGGTGATTCCGTTCATACTCCTCTTCTTCTTCCATACCTATTTCACGCCCCTAGAAGGTGGTGAGTGAAGTCACCATTGATTCAATACGTGCACGTATGCAGTCTATAGGACATATGCTATTATATGGAATAAGTATCGCCAACAGGGTGAGGTCAGGAAAAGGAGAGAAGAGTAGCAGCATGGTGATCGGAACAACAGGAACAGGGGGGACGAAAGGGGGGTGGAACAGTGGCTGGCAAGCTTTTACATTCAGTCTTCAATGGGCCAGCAACATTGCATGTCAAGCTAGTTCATATGATGATTTAGGAAGGTCGGCAGATTGAAGGGGGAGCTTCCGAGATTGTGTGTAATAATACTCAGGATCAATTGATGGGATTCTGCTCGAAGCAGGGGCAAAGGAATCGGAGAGTCATGATATAAGTAGCCATCTTGCTCTATTCCAATCGAGGAAAGAGGGCAGCGATCAATGCCCATCCCTCACTCACAACACCTTGACAACTAACTACCTCTCCGCTACTTGGCTGTCACTTGACAGACCTTGTCGATTACCTCACTCCCCTCCTACACAAGCAGGCTCGTTCTGTCTGACAGTAATGAATTATTGCATTTCTTGGCGCACCTGTCATGATGGATCCCAGGTCTCCCGACTGATCCCACGCAAGGATGCTTGAGCGGATACCGTTGTCGGACGGAAGATTGAGCAGGCAAGGTCGCGAGGAAGGGTGGCCGGGGGGAAGGTGTTGGATGTAATATCTCACAATAAGTGAAAGACTCACATCCGATCATGCGGTTCGTCGGATTCCAATCCAAGGCTGCTGCCACGATTCTCTATCGACCACCCAGCGATGCCACATGTCTTCAACAATGCCACGGAATACGCAACTGGTAGGAATCGATCCAGTGCAGTCTCCCAACCTACGGACTTAGTCCGAAGAAATAAGAAAAGGCAGATGCAGATGTGATGCAAAGGAATGCCTCATCGGTTTCCTTTCTACTCCGTTAGTAACATCTCTTTAGCCTATCAGTATCGCCGTATACTTGGACAAGTCCTAGTAGCAAAATGGTGCGGCACAGACACCAAGTTATGAGACGTGCAATCGTGTAAGTTGCAATACCTTTCCCCCC